GGGCAGCTAGCACAGATTGTTTTATCCAATTGAGTTCTTGCCCTCTCTTTTTAAAAAAATTTTACATATTTTTTTAAGTTTAGATTTATTTCTCTTCAAATTTTATTTTAAGTTAGAACAATGGATTTCGAACTCTACTGTAAAGAGCACTTGATTTGGAGGGTGGTAAAGATCCCCACCCACAGAGAGGATCAGCTGAAGCAGTTCCACTTTTGGTTTTATTTGTTTATATTTTCATGTAAAATTTTGTGAGCCAAAGATTTTAGGCTAAAAAAAATATTTGATAAACACTATAAGTATTTCAGAAAAATTACGTTTTATCATGTTCCTATATATCAAAACATTTACTATCATGGGCAGAGATCTGCGCTAACTCCTAAATGTTGGAAAACACAGAAGTAGATTTCTGCCTCCCTGCCTCTGTAATTTTATTGGTCTGATGTAAATAAGTGAGAGTTACTAAAAATGTGGGAAGCAACAATTAAGGATTAAACAGAGTATCTGCTAATAAGGAATCAGGTAACTTCACCTTTACTCAATGATTTTGAGGATTAAAACACCCTCCTCACAGCAAAGATAGCTCATCGTTCTTGTCCCACCACTAAAGACACATGCAAACTAAAGCAATCTTTTCCACTGCCTGCGCACATGTAGTTCCCGTTCTTTTATGTCCCAGCTGTTTATTGAAATTTTACTAATTTTTTAAAAGCTATTTGAGGACCCAGGTCCCTTGCTCTTAGTAAAATTGAGGAATGGCATTGCAGAATAAATGAACTGTCCTGTAGAGCATTGGCTCTTCAGGTGTGGTCCCCAGACAAGCTGCATCAGCATCACCTGGGAACTCCTTAGAAATACAGGTGTTTGAGTCCCACTCCAGACCTACTGGATCAGAAACCCTGGGAGTGGAGTGCAGCCAGCCCATCAGGTGATGCCGATGAACCATAAAGTTTAAGAAACCCCTGCTGTAGTGTTAACAGGGTTTCTCAACAGTAACACGGTTGACATTTGGCCAGATAATTCTTTGTCAAAGGGGCTGTCCTGTGCATTGTATAATGTTTAGAGCACCTTTACTTTCTGCCCACTAGCTATTGACAGCACCTCTCTCTCACCTAGTTGTGACAACCAAAAATGTCTGCAGACATTGTCAGGCATCCTCTGGGGTGGGAGGGGCTTTCCCCTCTCCTCTTGAAAACCACTGCTATAGAAGAACCAGTGAGAGCACTGAAAAAGTCATCATTTCCTGGAAATTCTTGTAGATTTTTTCTGAGTAAGAGATAATATTCTAAAGAATCCTCTGAAAAACTATTGGCCTAGCCTCTCTTGGTATAGGACTTCAGGAGAAGTCCTAATGCATTCAGCTTTCACTGTATAAAATAGTTTAGATGTTTCATCTTCTCAAAACTTGTAAAATATGAAATCATAGAGAAAATAAAGATGTTATGTATCTTAGGGGTTGCCCTGAAACTGAATCCATTTTCCAACTGTTACAGATTTATCTGTAAGTAATGTGAATTCATACATTTCAAAGCCTGAATTTATATCACAGTTGTGATGAGGGTTTAAAATTTCTTGTTCATAATACCAGTTTTGCTGTATCTCTCTTTATGATAATCTTATTAAAAGGGAAAAGCATGTACTGGTCTCTACTCTGAAGTTAAGAGTTTAATGACATTATTACTCTGGTCTTGATTAACTTATTGGGGTTGCTGAAATCCCATGTTAACCACTGCTGATGGGTAAAAACAGCATGTAGTTAATTCAGCACTTTCATGTTGTTAAAGTTTGCCACAAAACTCTCACTAAATTTTAAAATTTTCAGCATTAGTAGCGACTTTCAAACTAGAAAAATATCCAATATCCATTGAGTTCATAGATTGCAAATATGTTTTATACTGAAAGAATTAGAGCATTTCATTAAAATGTTGGCATTCTATTGATTATCAAGTTAATAGGGAAAGTGGATAATTGAAGTATTACAAAGATATCGTTTAATCTGTAATTTTTGCCACGTTTCTTCCAAAAGCTAAAACCGGAAGTGCTGACTCCTGATTTTCCATCCCCAGCAATTTCCCCGATTCAACCACTCAGGAGACAAGATTTCAATAAACAGTAAAAATGGCCAAAGATGAGATGACAAAAAAAAAAAGTGGTAGGGCTAAAACACAGCCACAGACCAATCAGTGCTACTTTGGTTCTACTTAGTAGTTCTTAAGTAAAATTATCATATTTCTACATCAGTGAAACACAGATACATTGTCGTTGGTCTTCTATGCCAATATGTGAAATGAATACTGCAGTTGATGTAAGCAGGTCTTCTTAGTCAACCATCATTTGATAAAACAATTAAGATTTAATTAATTGTTGAATTAAGTAGCTTTAAGTTATTATGTATTAGATAAGTGGTGAGTTCAGAGTATAATTTTTACATTACGTCTGCACAACCTTAAGTTAATCAAGTTCACCAGGAGGCACCAATGGTATAGTCAGATATATCAGATTTTCCTGGAGAGTCCTACATTCAAATATTCTTCTCTCTCATTTTACCAGTAATTATATTAATGTATGTCAAACCATTTGATCAGATTTCTAGTACAAAAAATATTATCACGATATTATGCAATGACAAGGGGGCTGGATTTGGAGCCAGGTTCTAAGTCATAGCTCTGCCTCTTGTGACCTGATCAAGTCAGGTACCTCTCTGAGCCACAGTTTCCGTACTTGTAAAATGAAAAGTAAATCCCAGTGGCGATGTTGCCGGCTGCATCATCTGTCTCATGGGTTATTGTGAAAATAAAATGAGATTCTGTGTTCAAAAACATTTTTGCAGCTATAAAATGGTGTTAGGCCTATGGGCTACACTCTACTTTTTAAGGGTAGGTTGCATGGTTTTAGGTTAATTACATTTTCTTGATACATTGTGAGCTTTCTCATGGTTGGCATTCTTGTCATATCAAAATAATGTTTTACTAGATATTAACACCACATGCAGTAGTGTTTTTATTAGAGAAAAATAAAAGCTCATTTATAAAGTTGGCAGTACCTTTAGTCCTAATTAGCTTCAGCTCAAGATAATTTCAAAGTCTTTTCTCAGACTTTAGCTCCCTTGTGCTTCGGGGGGTTGAGTACAGAGATGAAGGAATTCTATATTCCAGTTGCCATGTTTATTTAGGTCACAAATTATGTGGAATTTCTCTTTTTTTTTTTTTTATTTAATACTAGTGATAGTTGTGGGTATGGGGGTGGATTTTGTTTTTGTTTTGTTTTGTTTTTAATTTCAGTTCTGGCCAGGAATGATGGATGAACTCTCCGAGTTGAGAGAATTCTATGATCCAGATACAGTGGAGCTGATGAACTGGATTAAGTAAGAGGATTTTTTTAACATTTAAAATTCTAAGTGCCTTTTAAGAGTCACTATACACTTCATTAGTTTTTTGGGGGTTTTGTTTGTTTCTGAATCTAATTGTGAAGAAACATTTATTAAATTTTTCTTTAAAACTCTATATTTGGAAATAACTTCTTTCTGTTCAGGAAATATTCTCTCCAACTATATCCCATGAAGAAAGGAAAGATACCCAAATGGAGAGGAAAATAAAGTGGAGGAGTAAATTTCAAACCACTGACAGAAATGGCAATAAAATGTTATTTATCATCTGTGTTAAAACTCAGAGTTTTATGCTCTCTTCCAAATTTATCTTTGTTATTTTATCATAATACTGTTCAAGTGTTCTATTCATGCTGACATTTGAAAGTATTCTTTCCTTGTTAATTATTTTAAAATTATACTGTAAACTCTAGTTAATTAGAGTCATGATAGCTGAGTGCAGATTTCATTTTAGCTAATCGTATTGCCCAAGCGTAAGCCTAGAGAAAATGTAAAATACAAAAACTGGAGCTTGTTTTCTCTTGAACACCGTGATGCTTTAGCGCGATACTGGTTCCTGTTTTTGCCTGTGCTTTGTTGCTCGGCCTCAGCATTCAGCGTCAGAATGAAATTCGTGTATTTCAAAGCTTCGTTAATGAAACCTGCCTCCTACCAGCAAAAATAAACTTTTCTGTCCAGAGCAACATTCCCATGCCCTGTAATACTGTATTTCCCTACTTCATAATCAAAAAGCAGCAGTGTTGTTATTCACACATAAATAGATGTTGCAAATCTTGTGTGACATATTCTGAAAGCCTGGGCTGCATTGTCTCCATCACTTAGAATTTTCGTAGCCGTATTGGCACTTGGTCATGACTAATGTTTACTAACCAGTACAGTTTAGCACTGCCTGTGTATTAAGAGATGGTAAATGTTTGATAGCTTAGGTCTCTTGTGTGCAATACATGGATTTTATAGAGATTTATGTCTAAAATATATATGTGGCTTTGGTCCCAATGTCAGACTGGGTTTGACTAGATACAATGAGGGTAATTTTTCACATATTTCTGGTGCTGAGAGTGTTAAGCAGTGCTTTGTCTTTATTTATTTAATTTTAAATCATGGTAGACAACTATATAGAGGAAATGATTCCTTCAGTATTTGTTATACATAGGAAAAGAGAGTTATTCATATAAGAGAAAGCTAATTACTTCTGCATTAACTATAGTCAACTGGAAATTTACGACGTGCATCTGAAGGTGAGGCGATGTTTTCTGTCTAAGATTATACGTGCAAATGCTGAAGGACACCCACGTTCTGGTAACATCCTGGAGAGGGTAGATCTTTTCCAGATCTGCCTGGGTTAGCATTACAAGCCCCTCATTTCCACTCCCGTCTTTCAAGAATTAATTCTAGCGATTCCAGACGTATTCTAGCAGAGCCGCGGGTTACCTTCGGCTGCCCCAGACTGGACGCTCTTATTTGTGGTGTCTTTGTTGTTGTGCTGTTTCTCACGGAAGATGACTAAAAGTAACGATCTGGCTCTCAAAAGTTGTGAGTGAGAGGTTATTCCAGATGTAAAGAAGACAGTATGTTAGTCTGTCATTCCTCCTTTGGGGGAAGTGTCTTTGTTCCTAGATGTCCTCTTACTGGCAGCCCCTCCCCCCGAGCTGTGCCTTTGGAGACGTATTCTTCTTTTTTTCTTTAATTCTCAGCAACTGAAGGATTTGTATTGTTCTAAAAAATTTGCTCCATTGTGATCTAACTTTGCCTTTTTTTCCTCTAAAATTCTTTTAATCTAAATTACCGTTTTTGTAAAAATAGCTGCTTGGCATGTTTGTGAAATAAGCTTAAGTGATGATGAATGTATGCCAAAATAGGGTCTATTTAGACATAAAATATGTTTGTTTAAATCAACATTTAAATCAGCTCTGGTCCTCAGTCTTCGATTCCAAACACAAGTGAATGTACTTAATATTCTTTTAACCTGTTCTGGTTTCTTCTGTTTTTGAAACATAAAATATGACCTTCAGCTTCACGGCACTGCTTTGATTAGTCACAGTGTCCATGATATTAGAAAGTGTGAGTTGTGCTGGGGAGAAGACCGTGTCCTAAGGGTACGTGGAGTGTACCTAAAAGCAGCCACTGGCCGTCTGGTGGGAGCCAGCACTGTCGGTGGAAGGGGGGCGGGGGGGAGTGCCTCAGTTCCCGCCATCTTGTCTTCTGTCTGTGCTGTTCTCAAACACCCAGATGTCCGTTCATTGTCAATGCAGTCGTGACGGCATCTCTTGGGCCGGGGCACAGTCTCCATTACCAGATGGCTGCCATCGGGCTGAGTCAGAACTAGAGAAATGGTGACCTGGAGAAACTCTAGGGGACCCTCATTTTGCACAGGGTAACTCTCATGTAAAGTGTGGAGAAGAAGCTTATTCGTCATCGCCCAGCCTCTGCTCCACGTACTCGATGCTGGGGAAACCTCAGCCTTGCCTTAGGCATGCTGTTGTGCTCGGAGGACTCTGAGCCTCCGCTTCGAGATTCAGACGTGGCAAGCATTTGCTGAGAGCATCTCTGCTTGAGGGCAAATTGAAAGATGGCAATGCCTCAGTGAGAGTTAGTTATTTTCTTTTCTTTTTGAGAGGCCCGGTTATGACCTTTTATAGGCTAGAGAGATATCTTCAAGGGAAAATAAAGGACATTACTTTAGGATAACACTTATTAATATGAGAGGCGTCAGGCCAGAGGGATTGGATTTCTGTTTAAACACTTAAAGCCTTAATATATAAAGTTATTTCACATCTGAAGTTTTGTACTTAATAGTACAATTCAGCAGAGGTTTATTGAGCACCAGCTATGTGTTAAACATTGGGTGGCAATCCATTAACTGCCTCTTCATCAGGGTAAACGTTGAACTTCATCTCAGCACCATTGTCTTCATTCTTTCCTCCCGTATTCTTACTTTCGACTCCATTTTAAGATTTTCAGAGGCTTAAAAGATTTAGTGGAAAAATTTTTTTAGAGTTCTAATTTTTAGTAATAGAAAATGTTGCTTTACGCTTGCCTATCTTTAGTTCCTTGCAGGACTGGAGATTTAAGTATAAAACTAAGAATATTTGGGGATTAAATTGTTTTTTACAAGGATATTTAGACATTTTAATCAAAGACATTTTAGATGGCAAGGACACTTTGTTAAGTCAGGCCATCAGGATGTAGTAGCCCCAGCTGCCTTCTCTATGAGAGCCGGAAGGTCAGCCCACCCCGTGCCATCCACACCCCCAGCCTGTGTGTGCACACCTGGCGGCCCGCTTTCCATGTTGCACTGAGGTGCTGCATGCTTCGTTCTCAAGCAGATTTAAATGCATATATTCATATTTACCCCTCTTTGCTGATAATGTTTCCTGGATACAAACCTGGGTGGTTTGTTGGTTCTTTTTTTTTTTTTGCCTTCTGGTATCTCTTTCAGCAAAAACCAGGTGGTACTTTTATAGGTTTTATGTGTGATTAGAAAGCACATTTACTTCAGCAAGGCCAAATGCAACAGCAATCTGTGCCTCATACCTTGTTCCTTTGTGTCCTTGAATGTTTCATTTTTGGTTCCTGAAAATTTTCTTTGACATTTTGCAATTAAGATAGACAGATCTGCAGATTTGAATATTTTGAGGTATGACATTTTAACTACTTGGCTATAGGAGATTTTCACTAGAAATCGTCTCTTTTCAGTAATGAAGCGTGTATATGCGGTACATTCTCAGTGGGACTGAAAAAATGTACCAAGTTTCTTTCACATTTAATCAAAGCAGAAAGAGTTACTGTATATTTTTAATATGATGAAGGCTAAGTTCAGATTTTAAATGCCTGTAAACCTCTTTTATATTTAATGAATCATTTTGTAGCATTTGCATAATTCTATAAATTTTTGAAGTGTAGGTAAAGCAAATGTTCACACATTATATTATAATGCTCAGTTTACCCATTAGTTCAGCAGTAATTAACTTGTTGAAACTTACAGCTTAAAAAATCAATGAGATTATTTGTTCAAAATGCCATCAGGTCTTCCTGGAGTGACATTTAAATTATATAATGTAAATCCATTTGACCTGTGAGTCCTTGTCATTATGTAGTGACATTTCTTACAGAACAAATTGTTTGCAGGTTGGGCAGCCTGCGATGGAGCTTGGCAGAGAGCTATAAAAACAAATTATCCTTTCATTTTATACATCATTTGTTCATACATTTGTAAAAATTGCTTTGTTTTTCTGTAATGGAGAAGTGTCACTCAGTGGTTAAAAGCACATTAGCTATTTTAGATACAGACCACAGACTGTATCAGGCAGAAGTATCTGTGAAGGAAGAATGCCCAGCATTTTATCTGTCATTGTGCATATTTTAAGTTAAGGACAAAGAATCCTGTCTCCCTTTGTCTGCTAAATTTACCACAGAAACTATAAAATACAACAGATATAGGGGTTTTTTTTAAAGGTTAGAAATTGTGCGATTGATTGTTTTTCATTTTGTTCCACTTTGCTTGTTGCTTTTACTTTTGCATTTATGTTACTGGTAAAGTTAAATATTTAAAGTAGCAGTGATACAGCCCAGATTTACCATGGAGCTAGCATTTAAAATGAGGTCAAACAGAATAAAGTAAATAAACATCATCTCTGCTATCCTCAGAGGTCAGTAGTTTTCAAAGAACTGTTACTTCTAATTCATTTTATAGGCATTAGGATACTTGTATTTTAATACTTTAAAATAAAACCAAGGGCCTTAGTGAAAGACTCGGTTAACCATCCAGAGGAGTGTTGCACTAACAGTTTAAACAGATTATATTTCTTTCAGATTTTCTGATTTTTTTTGCAAATAAAGCCAAACATTAGGACCTTTTCAATTTAACGAGCTTTATTCTATTTTTTTTCTTTATTTTCTTATTTTTTTATATTTTATTTTTATTCTATTTCTTTTTTTATTTTTTTATTCTATTCTGTTTTTTCCTCAATTCCTCTAAGCAGTCATGTGACATACCACCTTACTCTGCTGCTGCCGCGGGGGCTGTACCTGGAGGGACTTAGGAGGTAGGAACCTTTCAAGTGCTCTTGGAGCATACTGAGGAGAGAGCATTTTTAATGACTGTGTTTGGTTTCCAGCATAGAAGGCCTGCAGTAAGCGTTAGTAAATACGTGATAGGCTAATTACAGTATTGGTTTATTTTGAAGTGCTTGCCTGTCACGGGAGCTGAGCCTGGCTATATTAACTAGTAAGCTTCTAGAAAAGAGGATATCAAACCTTGTTTGCCAGCCCAGCACATAGTAGGCCTTCAGTAATATTTTTTGAATAATAAGGAACAACTCTGTAACTCCCTTGAGAGCAGTTCAGGAGTTTTGACGTTTAAACCTCTGTGAACTCTGTAATTCGTCAGAGCGTCATGATTGGAGTCCGGGAAGCAGGCTGAAACCTTGGTCATCAGCTGTGAGTAGGTAACAAGGTCCGTCACCTATCGCTGCTGTCGTTATAAAATGCACGCTGTGAACAGCTCTGCGCATCTCCTTGGTGCTGATTCCTATTATGTATTCAGAACGGTGATGCAGAGTCTTGTGATTTGAGTGGGTATTGTAAGCTCGGCTGCTGGGCTTGTCTTTTGTGTAGAAAGACCTGCTTGGCACTCTTAGGCAGTGAGACGTACAAACCAGGACTGTTCACCCCGTCAGCTTTCGCCTCTGCCTCATGCTCTGCCAGACGTGGAAACCAGACTATTCTTTCTGCATTCTATGTCTGTCTAGTTCAGAGGACCCAAAGAAAGCCACTTTTTGGTATTAATATGATGTTATTGTGTCATTTCTTGCAGTGGAATGGCTTATGTCAGTTGAGAGTATACAAAAGGAAAGAAGACTGACTTATGATGGCACTTCATTTAATTAACGTTTGTTCATATTTATTTTCTGTAGTAATGATGGTATACCACAAACGAAGGTAGCACAGCATGCAAGGCCCAGGATAAGTGTGACCTGTCAATGGAATCAAACTGAATTTCAGTAAAACCTTTCACTGAGGAATTCTGTGCACCTTCACATGTTCTCATTTAATCCCACCTGTTCTTCTGACCATGTGGGAGAAACGTCAAAGATCCCCCATAAATTGTTGGTATGGGGGACAGAGCAAACATCTGTTTGTTCCTGTGTTCCTGGGTCTGATTGTCAGAGTGATGACAGCCTATCAAGTATAGCCAAGCCACGCAAAACTTTTTCCTGTCGGAATCCACATTCTAGACTGGCGTGGGCGGGGGGCGGGGGAGATGCAGATTATGTGGCATTGCTTGTACGCTCATTGCTCATTGTAATTCCATTCGTTTTTTTCCCCTCACTTAAGAAAGCTTATTGGAATGCGAATGAATGAGAGTGTCATTGTTAGAAAGAAAATCTTGAATTTTTCAAAAGTAAATTATTTGTAAGTGTCACAACTTGAGTTGTAGGATGTCTTGCTCATAGACATCCAAAGGCCTTAGTTGGATGGCATTCATGCTGTAGTCTTAGCGCTAAGTTGCAATACATAAAACATCCTGGTGGGATATATGAATATGATGAGGCTTCTCTTAGAAACCTCAGCAGCAGAGCAAGTTTCGTGCCCTGTTCTCCAAAACCATTGAGGGAAACAGCCTGCCAGAGCTGCTTCTGCAGAGGATGTTGAATTTTAATGATTTCATATAAACTCCTCAAAACTATCTCCCTTATTTAGCTCAGTCCAACAGGCGTGAATTCCTCTTTCTTAACACAGAAAGGATAAATGTATCTTGCAGTATTCCTACTGGACCTCAAGAAAAGTCTGCCCTGGGGAGAACCCCTAGAAGAGCCATGTGGTCTCCACAGTAAAATAACCCCTCATCGGTTTGCAGGTGACTCTCAGGTTTCCAAAAAATGGAAATTAAATCAATTTCTACAATTCTTTGTTTCTCGGGGGGAAAGGAAACTGCTCTGTCCGTGTTCTAGGAATGTTTCCTTGGGCCCATCATGGTCCCCCACACCCCACGGGGAGGTGGAGGATCATAGCGTGGTGCTAACTGGAGAGTGAGGTTGTACTTCAGTATTAGGGTGCCCTGTATTCCTTAAACTGCACGTAGTTTTCCATGATCAAGGCTAAGGAAAAGGAATGTGTAAAATATTTTTGTTTCCACATCAGAAGTATTTTACATCCCCATATTGAGTAATAAGATATTTGCTATTTTGGGATCTTCTTTTCATGTTCTTTTGTTTTTATTAATTCTGTTTTTCATAAAGGTAATTTATAGTAGTATCTGTGATTTTTTTTCATGCTTTTTACAAAAATCCTTGGAATCGACTCATGATCACCAACTGTTTCTGGCGACAGTTTGTTATATTTTACTCTGGGCAGCCCTTTAGTTAAGTTTAATATAAAAAGCAGTGGCAGTCTTTTGAGTTCTTTTTGTTAGAGTCAGCCCCTCTGGAACAATAGCAAGAGAGGGTTGTGGGTTTTAGCCTAGAAGGCCTCAGACTCAGGAGCTACCTGCCTCCTAAGATAATTGATCATTACAGTCATCAAAACAGTAAGTTAGAAGCTTCCCAGCCGCTATTCTGGTGAATAGTCAAAAACAAATACAAAACGTTTATGTAAAATATTAATAGTTTGAGTACAAATCAAAACCCAAGCAACCTTCTGTTTTTTTTCCCTCCGACTCTTAACACTTGCTACCATAGCTGTGTAATTCTAAAGGAGTATGATGTTGTCATCTTTGTTGTCTTTGAGGAAATCTTAGCAGTGGTGTTAATTCAGACTCTAAAATCTTTTAGTTCGAACACTCCAAGAAAGGCTGTATTTGCTGGAAGCATGCAGTTGCTGGCTGGAGTCAAGCTGTGCACGGGAAGGACCTTAACCAACCACCCACACTATGAAGACAACAGCCTCAGAGAGCGAACGAAAGCGGTGAGGCCCCATCTGTGCCTTTTCTCACTTGGTGAACCAGCCGTGGGCTGGGTTTCCCCATGTTTGGTAAAGACGGGGCGTCATGCTGCACCTCCAGCTCGTAGGCTAGGAGGGGAGTCAGAATACAGCGCACAGCTGCGCCTGCTGGTTCTGGGCCGTGGCCACCCCTCCCCTCACGGGCGTGCTCTTCAGGCCACAGGTCCTCTCGGCAAGAGCGAGGAGGCCTTGAGGTGTACAGAAGGGAGGGTTTGGGGGCAAAGCCCTCAGAATTTTTGAAGTGGGGAAGGGAAGGAAAAGGAGTTGAGGTGTACTGGTCACCTTTTTTATGGACTGTTTCTGTTGTGTGGTGTTAACTTTTTAAAACAGATAATACAGCCACACAGTTCGAAGTTCAAAACATACAAAAAGAAAGACAGCGAAAGGTTTCCCTCCCACCTCTGTATTCCAGCTGCTGGTCCCCTCCTCGGAGACAAATGGTGTCTCCAGTTTCTCACGTAGCCTTCCACAGGTATTTTATGCAGGTACAGATACGAATTTCTTCCATATTATTTTCCCCCTTTTTACAAAAGAAGTAGCAGCATTCTACCTCTTGCCTTTTTGACACTTAATATATTTTGGAGATCCTTCTGTATCAGTATATTAACAGCTTCCTTGTTATTTTTAAAGCTGCATACTATTTTATGTGAATGTAGCCTATTTAACCATTTCAGTTGTTTCCCTGTTTTTCGCATTTATATAAACAGTGCTCCAAATAGACTGGTGTACGCGTCACTCTTTACAAGTACGGTGTCTGTACGTCAGATTCTCAGACGTGGAACCACCGGGTCAAAGGGTATTGGTGTTTGTCATTTAGATAGATAGATGTTATCAGGTCACCCTGACACAGGTTGTATCAGTTTACAGTGCAGGAGGGCATCTGTTTCCCTTAGTTCTCGCCAGTGAGATTTCACACTTTTTAATGATTCGTGTTGATCACTTCTTAATGTTTGTAGTTGAAAAGTTGCTGAAAAAGTCTCATTTTGAGGTGGGATTTGACTAGCCTAAAAGCAAATGATTTTTACTAAATCTCCTGTTTTTTATGAGAATCATCTGAATTTAGACACCTGCTAAAACGGGAATTTTTCAGTTGTCCCAACTGTTCCAGATAGTTCCAAACTAAGTAGAAGAATAGGGGGGAAGGAGGCACCCCGCTCTCCGGACACAAGGTTTGGTCAGGAGGTGGCCTGTACTGCTTGGACTGAGAGCTGCAGACAAGACACACCAGTGCACGGGGCGTCCTTCTGTGTACCACCCTCTCCAAGAGCCAGTCCGCCCCTAGGCACCAAGTGGTGTGCCCTAAAAATTGTCATCCTCGTGGTCCTGCTGCTCTTGTTCAGTCATGACTTTCAGACCCTTGGAATGCCTTTGGTCTGAGACCCTGTGCTGGACTGTAGGATGACCCCACAGTTCTCGCGGTAGAAGCAGCTCACCTCCCACCATTTCACGCGTCCACGTGGACACACTGAATTAGGCCCTCCCGTTAGGCCCTTGTACCCGGTCCCTTACATCAGAAACGGATCATTGGAAATCAAGGGACAGCAGAGGAAACAGTACCTCTCTTTATCCACCCGTAGACCTGCACAGCAGCCCACACAGCGTTCTCCCAGAGTTGCAGAGTCCCAGCACAGAGGACTTTGTGTGTTCACTCACGGCGTGTCGCGGTGGTGAATGTGAAGGGGGTGCCCCTGTTGCACGCCGCCGCTGCCACAAGTTGCTCTTGCTCCCAGAAGGATGGGAGGTAGAGACATGTTGGGGTCTCCTTCTGATCAAGCAGCTGTAAAGCAACAGGTGCCGCCCCGGCCTAGGACCAGAGACCATACAGGAGCCTGTTCCCCACCTGCCGTCATCAGAGACTGGGTCTCCTCGTCACTAGACTCACCGCCACCCTTAATGGACCATTTTAGTCTGAAGGTCCCTTTTTAAAGGTAGAGACTGTGTCTTATTGACTTAGCCATGTGGAATTGGCATCTACTGATGAATGTATTCGTAACTTAAAAGAATATATTCTGAACCCAGATGTATTTGGCACGATTCACTCTTCCTCTCCCAAGGCTAAGCAATTACAATATTCTCTTGGAAAATCTCCACACACACGCCAGGCCTGCAGATGAGTGAGTTCAGCAGTGGCCCGGACTGGGAGAGAAGGGGGACTCAGGTATTTGGGTCTTAGATTCAGCCCCTGTGGGAGGTTACGTCATATTCCTCGATTAACTCCGTGGCAGTTGAGTGGTATTTTACCCGATTCCGTTTTTATCTCATTGTGAAGGTTTATCAGATATATGCAAAGAGGTCTCCAGAGGAGGTGCATGCCCTCCTAAGGTCCTTCGGCACTGACTATGTGATTCTGGAAGACAGCATCTGCTACGAGCGAAGGCACCGCCGGGGCTGCCGGCTTCGGGACCTGCTGGACATCGCCAACGGACACGTGAGCATTCTAGCCACGTGCGGGGAGTCTCCCCTGGGGGCGGGATTCCAATCTGAATCCTAAAGAGAAAAAAAAAAAGAAAATCAAGATGTGAAACTGAAAACTAGGGTTAACTAGCTAAATACAGGTACAGATATAGATATATATTAATAGATACTTAGTATAAATATGTTTACATGAAACATGCAGAAAAAAAGAATGTAGATCTTTTTATACTTTGTATCTAATAGAATTATATTATGAATCAAGCATTTGCTTTTCTCTTGGTTCCTGCAGAACCCCCTACCTCAGCACTGTAGTGACTGCCCCAGGGGCTGAGTAAGGGGAGACATGAGAGGGGAGCTCTGGGGCCCAATTTCACATCAAACGGAGCAACCCTGCCTTTGGCCAGTTTGTATGATGGGGCTCTGCATAAAATTTATCTTCTAAGGATTTTCCTGCTAAAAACAAAACCTCAGCTTTTAAAGCCACTGCTCCAAAGCTTCATACTGGCTCATCCCCAAGTGGCTAGGACTGTGGGGCCCCTCTCTCCTGTCTAGCCCCAGTGGTGGATTCTACTGCTCTCCGCGCCCTCCTCCCGGTGTCCTGTGTCCACTGGGACACTGCCACAGAGGTGGCTGAGCCTGCACTGCAGAGCAGAAAAGCAACAAGCCACTTCTCCCGTCTGACAAAAATGTTCTTAGAGCTATGCCAGGTCTCAGCAGAGCAAACAGATTTTCACCCTTTAGAGGTGTGATGTGTGCTATAATTAATGGTAGAAAAGCTGATTGAGATTTGCAAATGAGTGGGACAAAATGACAAACCTAGCCTAAATCAAAAAAAAAAAAAAAAAACTTTACAGCACTGGAGATTCAGATTTTTGCGCAAGGAAAATAACAGTCCGCAGCTATCTTGAATTCAGAGCTGGTACAGACCAAAGACATGCATTTAAATTTTGCTTTATGTGTACCTTGTTCTAACTTGGCCATCTGATGAGTCAGAGAATTTTCTCTGGTCATAGTAGTCCTCTATTTCATTTTTGTGGGAAAGAGTACAGCATGTTCCAAAGAGCAAGATCTGAGTTCTGCTTCCGGCTTTGCCACGGATGGTGATATTGTGTGACACTGTACTCCCTTCTCAGCCTCATTTTGTACTTCGGAAGGGGGACAGAGGTGGGCCAGATGATCTCCAAGTAGCCATTGACACTGAAATACTATAATTTCATTAACGTAACATTCGTAAAGAAACCCAATACCTATTCCTGTTTCTGTTGTCTTTTATAAATACGATTCTCCTCCCACATTGTATTTGGGTTTGTTTTGTTTTTAGACGATGGATGGCCCAGGAGAGAATGACCCTGATTTGAAGCCTGCGGACCACCCTCGCTTCTGTGAAGAAATCAAGAGAAACCTGCCTCCGTACGTGGCCCACTTCACTAGAGTGTTTCAGAACAAAACTTTCCACGTTTACAAGCTATCTAGAAACAAGTAACAAAAATCTGTGTGCAGTCTCTATTTTTGATACAGCAAAACTGCATCCTAACGAAACTCAATAGATAAGGTTTCCTATGTACGTAGGTAGCCGACACCTTAAAGCTGTGATATGAGTAAGTTCTTACCGATGTTTACACAAACATTACTGTCGTCAAAAGTATCTTCTGGGAGCTCGAGTCTCTTTTGTCTCGTCTGTATCTTTCCCATTAATGTTCTTTAGCCTGAACGTTCACAGCTTTCTAAGAGCGGTGTAGAATTTTGTCGCTGGGGAGACTGTACGTTCCATAGAGAGCCTGGACAGCCAGATACCACGTAGGAAGATGAGAGCCTGTTCAGGACTTGAAATACTCGTAATTTTCAGTTTACTTAAGACAGGTATGGTTGAGCCGAATTGAAAAGATGATTAAATTATTTAATGTTATTTCATTGGTGAAGGCCAGTTGGTGGCTTTTTAAAAAGTTCTTTATTGTCCTGTTTCACCTTAATATTTTATGTTGCTTTCCAATTGTCATGCTTTTAACGTTAACAAAAAAAATCATGTTAGATCTTTGTATGTAACAAACATTTTGTTACACTCTGAAAGGTAATATGTAGCATGTCAGTAGTCTGTGTGGTCTGCTGAGAGAGAGAGAGTGTGAGTGTGTGTGTGTGTGTGTGTTTTAATGCTGGGCACAGAAAAATGTTACAGTTTCCATATTGTAAGTCCTTAAAGGGGCAGAAATGTATGTCGCCAAGTAGAATTTCTTACCGTTCAGTGTTGTTATTTTAAAACCTGCTGATACTCTTTAATCTCTCCTGCAAGTAAAATAGTTTTGCTTTATTTCTTACTCACTTCAATTTACTGGGTTTGCAAAATTTTGTAAACTTTTTGTGTTTTTAGCCTTTGTATTTTTTGCAGCCTAGAACTTGCAAAGTCTGAATATTTTTAAAATGTTATATCTTAACTAGTTCACTAATACTGTATTTTTAGCAGACAGCATTTTCATACCAAGTTTGACTTGTGGTCTCCAATCTTACTGTGAGGACCCTGGTAGCATTGTTCTTTTCCTACATAAAAGGTAACCAAGTGCCTCTAAGTCATGCTTATTTGTAACAGCAAAGAGGATTATATGTACCTGCTCAAAATTTTTTGATAATTGCTTTTATAATTAATTTCCAATGATGGGTACCTGTAAAAGTTGCTGATATGAGCACTTAATTAAATCAAGATGACTAATGAAATTAGCTTTCTTCCCTATTCTTGCCAGTTGGAAATGATGTAAATATTTCTCATTGCAGTTGTGTTGAAGTAAATTACCATAGGCCTCAAGATGGATACATCACATTTTCAAATGATCTTACGGGCAGCTACTACTTACCAAGCAGCATTCAAAAAAATTTTTACACTGTCATGTTGGACACAAGGATACTCAGCTTTTATCAAAAGGTATTTAAATAAAAAAATTGAGAATAGTTGGGTTATTAAATTATATAACTGAAACTTTCAAATTATATCTTTCCTGTATCCCTTAATAAGGTTGGAGACCACTGCAGTTTAGGATAATATAATAATAAGGCATTTTAATCAGTACTAAAACTTTAATTAAGCCAGTAATGATGCATGCCTGTTGGAGCTGACAGCATGGGTCAGTACATCCTTCAGCGAGTGCCTTACTCTAATTGAAACCAAGCACATGTAAGGTACAGTTTGTTAGACTGTGGTTTTGTTTTTAAAATCCTCTGTTACCTTTTCAGATGTATCTAAATTTATGTTAAATGTTTCTATATGTTTTCATCTAAGCATTTGGGAACTTGGAGTCTCAATATACAAAACATACTTAAATCTTTCTGCTCACCATCAGCACAATGATGGCATACGGTGAGGTTTTTTTTTCATTATTTAGGTGCCATTGTTGCCAAAACATTTAGTGTCAGTCTTCAGTGAAAAATATAAAGTGCCAAAAAAGCTTGCAAGACAGCATCCACACAACACTCTTTCCAAGACACTGTGACCATGTACAGTAGAAGTTTTCCCAATGACCATATCTCTCAACAAATCATGTTAAATATTTTTAGCACGTGTCAGTATTGTCTTATGTGACCTCATTGAAGTACACATGAGGAAAGAGAGGAAAAGCATCTGACTTCGAGCTCTGGTTTCTAGCCTCTCGTAATAAGCTGAAGCAAAAGAACTGTGTCCTAAGCCCCGTGCTACACAGACCTTGGTAGCTGTGTTAATACTTGGTAATAGCCAAAAATAATGGCTCTGTATTTTATGGATAGAAAAACCACTTGATTTTGCTTCTCAGTTAGCAGTCAAAAGACCCTCTAAGTACAGTAGAAGTTCTCTTAACTGACTCTGCTTATGTGACTCCCCAGACCCGGAAGTCTCCATCCCTCTTGTGATCTGCCTGCCCCAGCACGGCTGGGAGGCTGCTCTCTGGTGTTCACAGTGCTCTTATTCCCTCCCACCCTTGAGTTCTATGCCCACACCAAATTTCTCCATGCAAGTTCTACTTCTTATTGTAAACAGACAACTCAATTATTTACATAAACCTAGGAAATACAGGTGTAAAAAGGAAGGGTTATTTCTGCAAAAATTAAGTTGAATGCTTTGGTAAGATTTGATAAAAGTTGAGTTGCTGATAAAGGTTGCTTTTAAATTAGATGTGGTTAGGAGGAAAATCATAAAATATTGAGGAAAACATAAAAATCAAGAAAATTTCTCAGCTTAGATTGCTTTGCAGATTTATTTAAGAACTCATTCCACCTTTAAAAATCTAAACCGATAGGAAAGTATTAAAATGTACCCAAATCATGTTATTGGTATGATTTATGCAAGAAGCAGAACTGCAGTCGTTGGACCCTTATACAAAGGAAAGACCTTGTCTTTACAGCAGAAGATTAGCAAATAAATGTACAATTACACATTTTAAGGTATGATTCCCTGCTTTAACCTATTTACTTCATTAAATGACCAACTACTGGTACTGATCACAACAGTTATGAGAGATTCTACTATAGTTGAAAGGTTCCAGTTACTTTTATTACAGGCTTTTTAAAAATAGGGATTCATTTCAAATAGGTGTCATCTAGACAATTTGCTGTCCTCTTAAAGATGATTTTCTTGACCTCTGTGAGAGCAACTCTGTGACTATGTGTGTGTGTGTATGTTTTGAATGGGTGCTGTCAGGTGGTAAGGGCATATATAGATACTTCATCTGATCTGCACCTTTATTTCACAATTTACTAAAAATAGAAATGTTTTTTCTGATTCTACATTAACTTTGTCTAAGATGTAAAAATTTTAGCTTATCTTTGGCCAAAATCTATCTGAATTAACATAGAAGTACTTGATTTTTAAAATTTAATTCAAATCTTGGAATCAATGGGAAGATACTAAAATGTTCTCAGATTTTATACCTTGGTTAATATGCTCCCCAAATGCTTTATACATGACAACCTTTTGGCCTAAGAGTGTTTGTTCATGGAAAAAAGCTTTTGAGATGAGAGGGTTGCTTACTTTCTTGTGGCAATTTATTTTTGGTTTTTAACATCCTATGGGTAAAATCTTACAAAGAGGTTTTATAATTTGTTGTACTGAATTGTATGAGATTATATACTAAGTAAAGTTCTTTTAAGTTATATACAAGATGAGTGTCTTACATTTCTTTGAAGGTCAAAAACCAAGGAACCTGCTTATTGAAGTGTAAATATTTGCTAAATAGAGTATATCAGCTGGATCTCAGCCACTCTAGTAGGTGTGTAATGATATTTAATTGTTTCAATTTCCGTTTCCCTGATGACAAATGGTGTTGAGTATCTGTTCCTATGCTTTTTACATCTCTATGTCTTCTTTGGTGAAATGTCTGTTTAGATCTTTTGCCTATTTTTTAATTGGGATATTTTCTTTCTTATTAAGTTTTAAGAGTTACTTGTATATTTTGGATTCAAGTCCATTATCAGATATGTGTTTTCATAATATTCTCTCCCATGCTATGGCTTGTCTTTTCCTTTGCTCAGCAGTGTCTTGCACAGAGAAGATGTTATTAATTTTAGTAAAGTCCAACTTAATAGTTTTTTTATTCATGAATTGTTCCTTTGGTGTTGATACTAGATTAACACTGGCCTCAAAGAATGAATCATGAAGTCTTTCCTCTGATTCTGTTTTCTGGAGGAGATTGTGGAGAATTGGTATTATTTCTTCCTTAAATGTTTGGTACAATTCACCAATGAGATTTTAGACCATCTGGGCATAATGGTTTTTTTTTTTTTTTTTTTGAGACAGAGTCTCACTCTTTTTCCCGGGCTAGAGTGCCGTGGCATCAGCCTAGCTCACAGCAACCTCAAACTCCTGGGCTCAAGCAATCCTCCTGCCTCAGCCTCCCTAGTAGCTGGGACTACAGGCATGCGCCACCATGCCCGGCTAATTTTTTCTATATATTTTTAGTTGTGCAATTAATTTCTTTCTATTTTTAGTAGAGATGGAGTCTCACTCTTGCTCAGGCTGGTTTCGAACTCCTGAGCTCAAAGGATCCACCCACCTCGGCCTCCCAGAGTGCTAGGATTACAGGAGTGAGCCACCGTGCCTGGCCTTTTTTTTTTCTTTTTGGAAGGTTATTAATTGTTGATTCAACTTCACTAATAGATACAGGGCTACTCACATTATCTGTTTCTCCTTGTGTGAGTTTTGGTAGATCATGTCTTTCAAGGACATCCACATGCACAAAAACGCACCTAGGTACAGACCCTACACCTTTCACAAAAATGAACTCAAGACGAATCACAGACCTAAATGTAAACTGTAAAACTATAAAACTTCTAGAAGAAGACGTAGAAGAAAATATCCTTGACCTAGACTTTGGTGATCAGTTTTTTGTTACAACACCAAATCCATGTCATTGATAAAGAGGTGCGTATGGGTGTCGTCTAGAGAGGCGAGAAGCGGGAGATGGAGCCCTTTCCGTCAGCTGTGATTCCTTACGCTGTCTCCCCCGCACGGTAAATGAAGACAGATCT